AAAAAAAAAAAAAAAACTAATAAAACTAATAATTTTAGTATTTATGTCGAATAAGAGTTATAACTTATTAGATAATATCAGATCGAATTTTCTCGTAAAAATGCCATTACCGAGAATCGACTAATTTATCGKGACAATATTTTCTGTTGATAATAAATATGAGGAAAATTGTATGCCTGCTATAATTTTTAAATATTCTGTGCTAACATATATAAGTAACGAATTTATAAAAGAAATGCATTTTTTAATTTGTAAATTTTTCCGCCTTTTATATAAACATTATCGAGTAGACATGACGTTATTGTATTCTACGTCTCAGAGTAGGCAATCCATCATAAATGAATGTCAATAACAACTATTGTAATATGCATATTGCATACTATATAATAATATACCGWTTCGTATTGAGATTGCTAACGACCGAGGCGTGAAATGTGTTTGTTTAATTATTATAATATTCTATTAGGTATCGTGTTTATTTGTGACATGCATAATATTGTAAAATCTATGTAATTCGGRCATTTAATTATTCACGAATATTATAATTATACAATTAGGTACCTACGTAGTTTAGAATTGTTGATGTAATTTATTTACATCACTTATGTTTACTATGAGAGCAAATAAAACCAACAAGCGAGTATATAAGAGTCAATTTTCAAGTGTATTGTTTTTATTTTAATTAAAACCCGTTCAAYGAAATATACGCTACACACACGTCACAGCATCGGGATCGCTTTTTTCTTCGTTATTGAATATTTCGATACTTTGTCATTTACATATTTTTGACAAGAAAACACACCAGATCTACGACTCTTCTATTCACTTCGATGAAAGTGACATAATATACGAAATAACTCGTCATTGATATCATTTGTCGTCTGTATTGATAGGTAGTATACCTATACTTAACGGTGACAAACGGAAATTTTCCAAATAATCGTAAATAATATGATTTTGAATACGGCATGTAATTTAATTAAGGTAGAATTGCTATGCACGTGTAAAAGGATTGTACTTGACGATCTCGTTATTGTTAATGAATGGCTGAGAATTTTTCCTCGTTATCTCGTCCGGCTTCCTAAAGCAATAAAACGTGCCATTTCTTAATTTTTTTTTAGTTTGAAATCGATATCGAATCATAGGTATACACGCGTTTTATAATATTAAAACAATAAACAATTTGAGATCGATGTTCTTCCGACCTTGTTGATAACTTTTGKGATGACCTCCAGGGGTTACGCTGTGTGTTATAATGTCTCGTTAACAAATATTTACAGCTAAATATAACACAAATTCCAGTGAGTTAAAATCAATATAAAAATAGGTATCTACATTAGATGAAAAATTTACAAACAACATACATCATTTAACATGACGTGAAACTTTATATCATGTTCGATATTTTCAATACTGTTGTCTTATTTTTTTTTCAATCTTGACCATATCTGTAGCAATAACATTATAATATACTCATGTCCGCTTTTTATTGTGTTACAGGTTTTAGCATTCTGGAAGCTACAAATATTGTGGAACAAAACGTGGGTGTCAGCGCCATCAGTGGCCGATGTATCAACGACAAGGCGTACAAACTTAACGAAAGAGCGATTTTAAGTATAGAAACGTCTCAGATATTTCCCGAGTTCCAGCAATTTCCCTTAGATTTTTCAATATTGGCCGAGATCAGAACTGACCAAGGTTTGAAAGCAATAATAATAGAGCTGACTTAAATACCATTTAAAATTTAAAGGTTGATAAAATAAATCGTTTTAACCACAAAATCACATGTGTTTTGTGTAATAAATCTATATCCTTTTGATAATTATTGAAGGAATAAAATAATATTTGTATTTAAAAATATTGTTACAAAGTTATGACTAATGATAAAATATTTATGCACAAATATGTTTACTAATGAAAACATAATTTGTTKTATTATGTAATAATTTTTGATTGAAAGTTAATATACTGCAGTATACACCATACACGTGACCAATTTAAGTTAAAATAAATTAGATAAACTTGAATTCAWGTAATGTGTAAATATTAAATATATTTGTATGAGCACATTTTTGAAGATCGATGATTCTTGAACTTTGTAATTTGTGATTTAATAAAAATAACTTTTTATATGATCAACAGTAAATAATTTTCATTTAAAAATCAAAATAAATTGAAATAGTATATACAATATGCTGCYAAAATTATTCTACTCAGATAATAACATATTATGCTCAAAATTGTCTTCATAATAAACATTATTTACGAAGGAAAAAAACCAAAATAAAATGGTAGAATTCAAAAAACTTCTAGCATATTGCTACTATATTTTAAATTTCTTTAAAAATACACTATTTATAAAACAGTTCTAAATTACTAGAAATTTCTGTTCTATAAGTTTTTTTTTTTATTAGAAAAGAAAATATACAATAAGTAATTTTGATGGTTTTTTTTTTTAACAAGACTTGATGACGTGAGTGAAGAGGGTGTCCAGTGACACTACTTTAGCGGTTCTATAAGTTATAATAATTTCACTCTATTCAAAATATTTGTTTATATTATAAATCAATTCTAATAAAAAAAAAAACCAATAAAGCACTTATCATACATTATAATTATAATGAATTAGTCACTAACTAGTGAATATATGTTTTATATATACATTATTTCTCAAGAATATACAAAATTCTTTAAATCAAAAATAATTGTTAAATTTTTTTTTCTAAATACCTAATTGTTCAATTTTTCTAAAACAGAACGAGCCTTTTATAATTTTTATGAACTACGAGTTCATGTTAAAACGGTAGAAAAATTACAAAAATGTATAAATACAATAAATATTATGATTGAAATAGAAAATAATACATTATGATAATAATTAAATACAAAAATATGAATACATTTTTGGCTATATACTGGAAAATAATCAATTTCAATGGTCATGATAAATATAATAATAGTTGGAATTTGAGACAAATAATAAATAAAATGCTTTTCAGTTTCTATACTTTTCTTTGAAATTAAAACATAWTTTGAATATTTCAAAAAATGTATAGATTTCCATACAGTTGTGTTTTGCTTATAAATTGTAAAACGTTGTTTTTGGCGCTTTTTCACGCACGAGCACGTAACTCCTACGGAGAAACTGACGCTCTGGCACCTGATGTTGTCAGTAGAGKACAGCAGCTAACGGGTTGCAATGATAAATTAACACTGTTGTTTATAGTATTTAATTATAGCCGTTTCCTACCAAAACGGTTTTTCATTTCCAGATAACAATGCCGTCATTACAGTGTTTCTTTTAATACTACCTTACTGTAGTTTAAATAAGAATATCTATTTCTTACGATAATGTAGGTATACCAAAGTATTTTTTAACTTTGAATTTATCAAAATAATTATCATATCGTAATGTGAATATTATAACGTATTAAATACAATATAATATATATTATAATTTATAACATATTAATTGAGAGATATATTTATTTTATTTTGATTTATTGAATATAATGCTAGAAGACATGGAATTCTATGCATTTCATATAAAATTTACAACATCGATTTAGTATTATTTAGTGAGATAAATTAATACCTTGGTAAATATTCCTTGATATTATTACAAATCCCAAAAATTATATAGATTTATCAATTTATGTCGTAAAATATTGAATGTCTTTTGAAAATCAATGCCTATGCATTTGATCGTTATTCAATGTTTGTTATAACTACTAAACTTAATATACTAATTATATAAATACACATGTACCTTGTACATACTGTACACGATTGTATATTTGCATGAGATAAATAATTGTTGTTTGAAATAAAATAGTGTGAAGTGTACATTATAATTGTCACACTAATAAATTACGTACACAGGTACGTTGTAGATACCTTTAATCTATAAACAATATCTGCATGTATGACCATAGAATATACAACTTTACATATTTAAATAAAATGTTCGATCGATCACAAAACGAGTAAATGTCAATTTATTTGATTAAACATTTAATTAAATATTAAAATTATTTATTTCTAATTAAAAACAGGAAAGCCACTAGGACTCTGAAATCAAATGCATGTTTATTATTTTTATAAAATGTATATTTCCTCTGATATATGTATCGGTAATAGGGAATATTTACATTGAATATTATTTRTATAAATTATTACCGAATGGTACCTACGTACTTTAGTAAAATATTCAAAGAATATAAATTATAATAAGTATAAACCAGAATAGTTGAACGTTTAGACAATTATTTTTCTTAATAAATTAGATAATACTAAAACTTTCGAAATTTTTTTGAAAACTTTAGTCACTTATAACCTACGTAGTTAATGTACAAATAAAATATGATACAAATAAATAAGTTATTCTAAATAAGAACAATATTAAAATTGAATGCTTCCGAAAAAAATAAAAATAAAATCCAATTTCACTTTTAAAAATGTTGCTTAGAAAGTAATAAAATCATTGGCCCCGTAGATGAAAAATTTCTACTCATAATCTTGAATTATAACTAATTATTTAATTTTTTTTAAGTTGATATTTAAATGATATTTACACTTTTAAATACCTAACCCTCTACTATACTTCGTAATTAAAAACTAAATTGGTGATTTTGTGATTGTAGTAGTTAGTAGCTTTTACCTGCGTTATGTAGGTAGATATGTTTTTTTGCATATTATTACACAACTAATTTAAATAATTAGCCACATTTAAAAAAAAAATTATATCATATCAGAAATAATTTAATTTGTCTAAACCTGCAGGTTCCGATACGAATAGAGTTTTTCTCATTTACAACGAAGCGGGAGATGAACAGTTGGGTTTGACAGTTGGGAGTGACATTGTGTTGTTTTACAACGACATGGAAGCCCAAGAGGAATATAAGACCAAAGTAAAATTTAATTCTATCATCAATGATAGTCGGTGAGTAAAAAATTAGCACAAAATGAATTGCCTGATCTTAGTTATATAATTTATCCTGTAGTATATTTTAATATTTGACGTCAATATTTTAATATATTTCAAATAATATGAAATATTTTAAATTTACAAATAATATGAAATATTTTAAATTTACAAATAATGCCATTAGAAATATTTTTTCTCGTAAAATTATAATTATCATATTTTAGCAAAAAATTATATCCTCTCATCTGATTTAATCTTTATTTATGGTGCAGAACAATACATTTTAATAATTCGAACCATAGGTACTAATTTAATACGAAAAGTTCTATTAATTTTGAAATTACATAATTCCAATACCTAGTAATTTATTGTGAAACAATCAGTGTTTGATAATTCACATATTTCTTCATTAAATCATTTCGTAACATTGAGGTCTAGAATATTGACTCATTGAGTATACTCGAATTATTCGTATCAGTATTCAATATATGTACGTATTGTTGAATATTTTATAACATTACGATATCAAAGGTTTGAAGAAAATCTTATAATTTTATTGACAGTACTAAAAATAAATTAAATTTGTTTTTTACGAWCCAAAATTAATACTCTTATTACTAGACACCTATAAATGTTATAATTATTCTATAAATCTTGGAGTATAAAAATGTGTGTGGTAAATTTATTCAAATTTTTAAAATATTAAAAATTAACTTACAAAAATGTAATTAATAATTTTTACTATATTTTTGATTTTTTTTAAACTAAACTGGACTAAATAAAATTTGGACTCGATGTATTTTAAATTGTTATTCTTAAGAAACAGTGGAACCTCGATAACTCGAATCTTTATAAGTCGAGTTTTCGATAACTCGAAGGAATACCTTGGTCCCYGTCTTACAAYACATGATATTTGTGAACTTCCGTAAGTTGAATTTTTGATAACTCAACATTTTTTCCGGCCCCAACCGATTTGAGTTATTGAGGTTCCACTGTATATTATATTATGTTTATCAAACTAGACACGTAATAATGAGTATTGAGCAATATACCTTTAGCTAAACAACATAAATACGTAATTACATAATTGAATTAAAAATATTTATATGGAATCAATACATTTTTCACAATTTTAAAGAAACAAATCCCATTCAGTACAAGGTTTGAGAACCGTATGGTATTAGTACAATTAATGTAATAAGAACACTTAAAATTTAAAATGCTAAGTCCTATTAAACTACAGCTTATACTAAAACAATAGGTAGGTATAGAATTTATAATTTTGTTTTTAATACAGAATATTTTATAAAATTAAGATTTAAAATACCAGTTAGGAGTCCGAAACGTATTAATTGAATTTAATAACCTGTCTATTTGATTAATAATAGTGTTGGTAATATATATATATATATATTTAAAGCTGTTGCTTTTCTGTAAATGTGTGAGTTACTTAAAATCTATATAACCTTTCACATCGAAATTCATATAAAAAACGTGAGAATTTTGAGATTCAGCATTATTAATTTAAGTTTTAAATATGACGAATTAATTAAAGTTAAATTATAAATTACAGTATCGATATTATGAAAGTGAACAATGTCATATTATTGTCATATGTTCAATATGGTTTGTGATATACTATCATGAGATAAGTGTTGACTGTTCGATACTTCAGTGAATTTTTATGGGAAATAAAATTTTCGTTACTTATACTCACTCGTTATAGATTTATAGATATTATTAAAAATAAACTTATTGTGTCATGTAGTTTATAAAATGTAATAAAAAACTGTGTATAAATTTATCAGATAAGATTATCATAACGTATCTTTTTTTCAAATTTTGGAAAAGGGAGGATTTTGGGACCGTTAAGACACCCTATGTAAATAAGCTACTATATAAATTATACAGTATTATATATTAATATATTACAATGATCGTCGTAATTTGTAATTTTAGGTGGCATAAATTATTGTTCAGTATTAAAGGAAATTCAGTGACTTTGATTTTGGATTGCGATAAACAAATCACAAAAGAACTTAAGAGGAATACAACAATCAGCAATTCAGGAATCGTGATGATTGGCCAACAACTAGATGAAACATTTTATCTGGTAATTTTCTATTMATATATGAAATTAAGTGTTATAATATATTGTATAGATTGTTTTCTGGTCTTGTTATTTTTAATTTGCTAATTGATTATAATAGTATATAGTTCATTTAATTCTAAATAATAAAACGGTCTGAAAAAGTTTCATTACATTATTCATATAGCAAAATTATATTCATGATGCTTATTTACTTTTTTTTAATTACTGAATCTCTTTTTTACGCTAAACTCCAGACTGTTAATTACACAATTACTTAATACAGACAATGAGACTTATCTTCAAGCAGTAAATTTATAATTAAGTTCTGAAAAAAAAAATCGTAGATGAATCGAAACTCAAAGTTAAAATTCATATCAGAAAATGTTCAGTAAGTTTATTATTATATCGGATAGTATCACATTCAACAAATGAATTATTTAGTATTTTATGTTGCGGTGTAATTGTATACTATTGCACATAAAATGAATTTCTTTTAAATTAATTAAAAATATAATATTTCCTTGTGATTTTCTTGTTTAAATATGATGGTCACGGTGGTATGGCTGTTAAAATGCTTTATCAATAGCTGTTTAATTTAATTCAATATTTGTAGAATGACTACTAAATATTCTTCTTATATACATTTGTTCATTGTCTTATTATACTATTATAATCTATAAAATAATTCTGAAAATAAAATCTAATTCAACAGAAAAGTACTACCTATGGTTTGAAAGGGGATTTTTGTCTTAAGAAAATAATTTGCCTCACGAAACTCATCTAATACAATTCTTTGTATAGTAGGTATGTAATGCATTGAAAAGTCAGTAGCTCCAATTTAAAATATAATTCAAATGTTGTAGCGCAGTTTTTTAGTGTAACATAATATTATAAATAGTCCCCATTTTACTATAGTTTATAAATAACATTTTTTTTTTAAATTTTGAAATAACTATTTTGTAGAGTTATTTATTTAAAATATGAATAAAATATTTGTTCTACAATATTATACAATATCTCTACCACGAACTTCTACGAACAAGTAAATTTTATAGGCCCATGATCTTTGTATTTGTAACGATATTAACATTTCAATGATAATATCTTGCAMATTTTTTAAATTATAGCTCTAATTTCATTGAARATATGGTTTAAACCTCATGAAGTCATGACATAGACAATATTCGAAAATTTAAAATATTTAATAAAAAAAAAAAGTATACTTATTGTGCAAAAATAAACACAAAATGTATTAGTCAATACAATAATCGTACATTGCCAATAAAAAATGCATAATGCATYGTAATTGATTTAGTGTGTAAATAATTCTAATATATATGTAATATGTAGGGCCCGGATTTCAATGCAAAGTGCATAATTTTTTGGTTAATCATAGACAATGCTTTCCAATTACATAATTCATTTCATGTAACGAGTGTTTCAATGCTAAACATTTTATTAAGTATTTCTTGCATATTTCGTAATTTTTTTATTTT